ATTCAGTTAGTTTAGTACTTTCATTTGTGACTTTGATGCAAGAACTTTAAAGACTGTGACGGATACAAAATTAGAAGATAGCACTAATTCAAAGGACGGCCAGACAGCCATACAGGAAGAACTGGATTACAGTAGTACAGAAGATGAAATTTTACTGTGTAACACACTCCTCTGCTCTTCCCTTCCTTGGTACAGTAACCTGGCAGTTCTGTGAGGACACTGACCAATGCCCCAGCCTGTCAGTTAATAAAACCAATGGTTACATCAACAAGGGAATTCATTTCTGCTATAACCTTGCACTACCACAAAGTTCAACTGGGAAAAAAAGAAACCGAATTTAGTTGAAATTTCAAGAAAAAGAGGATACACACATACCACAATCCCCCTTCCACTCCCCCACCTATTCCTTATATTTGACCACAGATATTTGAGAAGGCCCACAGATATTCTTTCAACTTTCCAAGGGAAAAAATGGCTCTTTCTTCAGAACCCATGGAAATCCCACACCATGTCAGGAAATACTTCTTGAGTCATTAGCCAAAATATCCCTCTTTCACTTCAGTATTAATTCATGTTTTTTTTTAACTTTGGAAAGTCATTTGTTTTACATATATATTTCAATAACTCTCCCAGTACAAGGGCAAACCTATTTGCACATTTAAAAAATACACTTCTTAATAGTTTTCAATCACTGTAGTCAAAACTAATTTTAATTATACTGATAATTACTTCCACAGATATTTAATTAGTTGATACTCACAAGACTAAAATTTAGATCACAACTTGTATAAATTTGCAACCCATAATACAGTGACAAAAACAGACTGTGAATTATGTGTGTAAGAAAAAGCAAGCAAATAATATGAAACAAAATAATGAAATTCAAAGTTGCATCTATGACTAAAATTATGCTGTACTACACCTTCCTGAAAAGCAATTTATAAAGTTTTCAGGTTAATAAGAGATTGGAGCTTTCATCTCCTGTCCAGTACCTCTAGGTCAGTACGGTTTCTAGTTTAACAAGCAATAAGAAACAAGATGTTGTAATTAAGTTTCTGGAATGAGAGTCAATTTTCATAACTGCATACACAGTAGCAATCAAGTGTAAGCACCCAATTCTGGTTGCTGCTAATAGAGGATGAGTTATTTTATTCCATTTCACTGGCTTGTATGGAACCCTCCCCTAATTCAGAGGATGGAGTCACCTATGAAGTCAGTGGAGACAGGTAGAGCTATTCTAAACACCAGGTTCTAACTTCTAATACAATGTTGTCATCTTACAAATATTAATTTCATATCACCTGAAAAGTTCTCTATTTGAGGCATGTTATTTGAGACTCCTCTCTCCCCAGCTGTTTTGTTATAATGAGATTTTTTACTTCATTTCCTCTGTAAAGTATTAATGACATTGCAATTAAATTTCAGTTAAAACTTCGACACTATTAAAATGTTTTTGATGGATCTAAGGTGTTTTACTTATCAAGTATTTTATTATGCAACTAATACTTCTTTTACCAGGTGACGAAAGCACATCAATTAGGTAATTTTTAAATAGAACATAATAAAAATGTCTGGGTATACATCATATGTAACAGGTCTTGTTTCTAAGCATAGTAGTAACTTCTAGGGCTTCCCCTAAAAAAATCAGGATTACTCAATTGTTTTTGTTTTCGTAATTAATCAGTCTCAACTGCAACCTGTTAAATTCTGAAAATTTTATGGATCTGACTACAGTTACAGATTATGAATATAAGCAAAATATTTGTTCCAGATTGTACATATGTGGCATTTGCTTTTCATGCAGAAGCATAAGGAGGCTCTGAAATGACGTACTGAGAAAATTGAATTCCCTATTTAAGTTTGCCATCTGAGCTGTTCCTCACCTGTAAACATCTGGAAAGCTCAAAGAACGAACACTAACAACAAAACCATTGGAAAAAGGAATTAAGAAAACTTTCAAGAGTTTGAACAGACTGTCTGGGTTTTGAAAGGAAGGTTTAATGTCACCTCCACATAACTGAAACTGTCACTCGGATATTGTGAACAATGAAGTTCCAGTGAGGTTTTTTTGGGTCCTCTGTGAACTTCAGAGTTTTTTGAGACATGAAAGCACCTACAACTATTGCAGCTGCATCATCCTTTTTGTTTGACTCTTTTTAAGGCTCTAAGACAGTAGGAGAATCTACAGCAAATGGTGCCCAGGGAAGCAAAGCAAGGCATTCTGTGTGGGTCCTGTTTCAGTTCCCAGAACAAGAATTACAGGAGAGAACAAGGCCTGCTCAGGGGACACACCACAGCACAGAAAACTCTCATACATGGCCAAGTTCTGGTTCCTTCATTCTAGAAACAGGTTTTACCAGATACACAGTAAGAGCAGAATTCCACCAATACAGTTAAACTGCTTGTCAGAAGTAGGAAATGACACTGGGAGCAAGTATCAAGTAGATTTCTTTCCCTAGAAAACAACCTAACAATTGCCCACTGGAACAGAACAGAGTAATAGTGAAATATATTCTAGCATACTTCATTTAAAAGCTCACAAGACTCAGTTTTGACTTCTTGCAACACTCTCATGATTTACACTTTGCTGTAACATCTCTGAGTAGCTGCCACAAATCAGTTCTCATTTTAAAGCAGTACAAGCAAAAGCCATACACACTGCATTGGGCAGTCTTGCTTATCATATCCATTTAAAAACTGAGCTTACCTTAAAGATTTTTCAACTACCTGTGTACGAAAAACTTCTTCTTGGTCCAAGTTTATGGTACAGAAAAAGTCTCTCATTTTGTTGGGTACTAAGTGTTTGGCATCATCTGTAAAGAAGAAAAAAATTACTGTAAATATTGCAGGGAAAAAACTTCCAAAATAGTAGGTACAAGAATGTTACAGCTTTAGTGTGTTCAAAAAATTTACTTTTCCATTCAGCATGCATTTTGATATTAATTTTCAATTTGTAAGCTTCAAGAGGGCAGAGAAGTTGCTACATCCAGCTTCACATGGAATGAGAGTCGTTGGGAAGAGATGCTCTGACTCATGAACACCACTTCCTGCAGCACCTGCACTTTCCCTTGAAAGGTCTCATCTCTGGCTTGACCCTGCACAACTTGTTAAATCTGAGACACTCACAGCCTGAGGTCATAACACCAAGACATGATTTGCCTGAGCTGTTGTTCAGTTGGTATTTTCTCCACAAATACTTTGGCTAAAGGAAGCTGATTAATAAGAACTTGCCCATCAAATCTTCATTCCATTTTCCACAATGAACAGCAGATTTTGAGTTGGCTGAGCCTTTGAAAATATATCTCTCATGAGTACTGTTCATTTTTTCCTATCTAGTAGAAGGGGGAAATAATCACCTCTTAATTCAATGCAACATGGAAAAGAAGAAAAGGAAGTTTCTAATGAGAAAGAAAGATTGGCAGCATAAGAATACAAAGATTTGCTGGGTATTGAATCTAGGCCACTGTAATTACATGCTGGACACAAGGCAGATCTCTTAGAAGATTGTTCTCTCTAAGTAATCATAGCTAAAACCAGTTGAAGTTGGAAAGCTCTTCCAAAATCCAAATGCTACAGACATCTACATTAATTTATAGCAACACTGTTCTCTAGATTAAACAGTGACTTTCTGCCCAGATGTCTCCTCACCCTTTGAACATCTGAAGACAGCAAATAGACCCTTTCCACCTTTTATTTTGCTAAAAGGAATCCCAAGCTTTTCTGATATTCTCTCCCATGAGAGGCTCCTAAATAGAGCAGGTGATCTGTCCCTGTTCCACTTGGTTGTCCAAACCCCGGGCAACCAGAATTGCATTAGGTCTTAGCCAGGACCTCTCACAGTAGTGTCCATCCTTGCCTGCTGCTGGAAATAACCTTTCCTGATGACATGTGGAATCAACTTTATCTAAACATTATCTATTTATATAAGATATTAAAAATAGGATGAAAAGTACATCAAAGTATTGAGTTTTAATTACTTTTATGTCTGAATAGCATAAGACTTTTCAGAAAACACAATTTGAAACTAGATTTGAAATATCATACATATTTATTTTTTAAAAATGCAGATATGAAGCACAGTGAGTAAGCTTTATTCTCTATGCTGGTAAGATGTAAAATCAAAATTCTATTTTCTCTCTCCTCCATACTCTTTCTGTGTTAGATGGTTAATTCAGGTTAACCTATTACAGTCTTGGAAGTTAAGTAAGTAATGCCAAGCACTAGCAAGGCTGCCCCGACTGTGTCTGAGCAGAGAATGTGACAGTTTAACAGGAACACAGACTGAACTTCAATCATGACATTTTCCAGGTCAGGGATGTACACACTGATGAAAAGCATGAACAGAAACTTAAGGAACTTCCACAGTTAAAATTTGTGCTCTCAGAAGCACCAACAAGCTTTTCATCAACTTGGGTGCAGGAGAGGAGGAAGTATACACTTTATTTTTAAACACCACACTTCATGTTGACAGATTGAGAGACATGAACAGAACCTGGTTTTAATGGCTTTAGGCTCCAAAAATGGACTAAACTCCAAGTTACCCTTAAGTGAGATATTGCAGGAGAACCAAGAAAAGCATCAGATTACCACTGCCTTATTTTTTTTTAAGGAAGAGCTAATTTAATAAAACATACAACATATAAAAAGCAATTCATCAACTTGGATGTAATCCCCAGAGAGTTCCTGATTCCAAAAGTTTGTAATTAATAAGCATGAACTGGATGTGTCAGCTGTTCCTGAGAAGAATCTATTTTTCAGTTAATACCTGGCACGGTCCAATTTTCCCACAAAATATTCAAAATATAACATTATTTAATCACCACAGTAAAGGCACAATACCGTGGACTTTGAAAAGAAATTACAGTTATTATAGTTTCATATTTTCTTAAAAGGAGTAAAAATTTAATATTTCTGAATAATTCACTATTTGTATGTATACTATAGTACAGTTTTTCAGTTTTAAAAGGAACTTTCCACCCAGAGGAATACACAAAATACAAGTTTTGACAACAGTTGGTTAGAATATGGTGCTAGTAACACCAAGGCTGTGGGTTCAATCCCCATATGAGCCATTCCCTTAAGAACTGAAATTGATGGTCCTTGTGGGTACCTTTTAACTCAAAATATTCTGTGATCTGATCTTCTAATGAGTTTAAAAACCTTTATTTTGTAGCCCAAGTGTTTGGCTTTAAAGCACAGACAAACTTTTGGTAGGAAGAGGATCCTCAATCCTGAGCCAAAAATAACCTCAGAGCACTTGTCAGGTGAAATACAGAGCATGAGATTTCACATCCTTTCTAACACCTCTTAGTATCTGTGACCGTGGGAGACTTTTCACCCATATAGTGGTCCAACTTTTCCAAGAAGCTTATTTCCTTTAAAAAAATTAAAAGGCTCAAGTCTTTGATTATACTACGTCTTCGTTTTTCTGAGAAACCTAAGGCTATAATAGTTGCATAAAAATCAAGTATTAGCAACATCAGATATCTGCTTGAATGTTTACATTTTCACTATATACATGTAACATCCTCTGCTGAGTAAAAGTGTGCAATTAGCGTCCATCTTCTAAATTTCTTTATTCTGGGTCCCTGCAAGAAGACATTTATGCACACAAACTCTGAAGTATTTGCTTCAGAGCAGGACTAAACATATTATATGGCAACAATAAATTCCACTCCCGGAGTGCAGCATAATCCAAGATAACCATGCACTGTTAAAAACACAGTGCAAGTTTGAAAAAGAATGCATCCTGAATTTTGTCAAATAAGCACTAGAAGACAATAGGGACATTTTTCCAAGTGCTTCACTAATGCAGGTTTCAATAAATACTCCAAAAATCAAGGCAACTAAAATCCCTTACTGTACTTCTGTATGGCATGAAATGAAAACAGAAGCCACAGCCTGAAACACTATACTACAAGGCATGCCTAAAGCCACCTGATACCGCATACCTTTGTGAAGCATTTTTTGTTGTTACTGTGGCACAAAAAAATAGAGCCATCAATACAAAAGCATTGTCAAAAAGGAAATACAATCTTTTATTGGATTTTTGGTGAAAATCTGTTTAAGAGTAATACTAAATTTCTCAAAAATATTACAGGATCTTAGGCAAGATCAGTTGATCTCACCTCACTTCTGCCTGAAAACTGGAGGCAGAAGACTGGTTGCAAACACTGAGCCCATAAAAACAGGGTACCAGGGACTGCAAACATGTCCTTACTTAGGTTCTTCACTGCTAGGTAGGCAATGGCTGCTTAAGCCACCTTTAAGAACATGTCTCAATTCTAAATCTGGGGTAATGATTTGTATAACATCACTAAATTTAGATTTTACCACCGATTTGTGCATTGCTAAACACAGTATAAATAACAACTTTCTGCAGATGGTGTTTTCTATACATGCAGAATTACACAGAACTGACATTACCTCATTAAGACTACCATGCTCTCTCATGCAACACACATAAAATGAGTCAGTGTCAAGTTTTAATTGCAGCAAAGCTTGGGCACAAAAATGTATTCTCCCTGTAAGAAACATGCTATAAGGAATTCCTTCAGACTATGAACATCACCTTTCCAAAGTGAGGTCTGCTATTGCTAATCCCTCCAGATTAAGGAGGATTACATTATTGTATTTGTTTATTATTGTTCATTCAGAAGGTTTTCCCCTATAAAACACAGTACTAAAATGCTAGCAAGAAGTGAAAATAACACAGTATTTGTTGTGCAAAGAAGCCAAAAGAGCATCTAGGCATCAGAGGGTTCCCACGCTTCTATAGCATATTTAATTCAACGAGTTTTTAAACAGTTTTTGTTTTCTTAGAAGAAATAAGTAGGTTTACAAAGGATTTTCACACTGTTTCAAGACATGTCTTTTATTGCAACTGTTACTCCCACTCATTTTTCAAATGGGTTCTTACAGATCCACCTTCAGCAATGAACTTTTCACATATTCCCCAGGAGGAAGGTCATAATCCTCTATTTACCAACACTTTTGCCAGTTAACTGAACATTCAAAGTTACCATACAATCACATGGGACAATAAAACTGGTTTTAACATAAGTCTCAAGACGTTTTGCTTTGTTTTTTAATGCTTAATGGAAAACTTTCAAGTTCAAGTATCCCAAAACTCACTCAATGTTGTGTAGTCCAGTGTAGACAAAACCTTACAACAAAAGATAGGAAGCAGAATAGAATCAAAAAACAAGCCAGCTTCAATAATCTTTAGCAACCAACTTCTCATGTATTCCTAGGAAGCAGGTCATAGTCCTTCTTCCTAGGGAGTACTATGACCTGCTTCCTAGGGAATACATAAAGCGTTGGTTGCTAGAGATTACTGAAGACAGATTAAGAAAGGTGGGGCTGCTCAGCCTGGAGAAGGTTGTGTGAAGACCTCACAGCAACCTTCCAATATCTCATGGGGGAAGCCGGAGAGGGACTCTTCATCAGGAACTGCAGTGACAGGATGAGGAGTAATGGGAACATACTGAAAGAGTGGAAATTTAGTTTAAATATATCGAAGAAATTCTTTACTCTGAGGGTGGTAAGGCGCTGGCACAAGTTGCCCAGACAAGCTGTGGAAACCCCATCCCTGGAAGTGTTCAAGACCAGGATGGATGGAGCTCTGAGAGGGCAGAAGGTGTCCCTGCCCATAGCAGCAGCATTGGAATGAGACGATATTTAAGGTCCTTTCCAAAACAAACCATTTCATAACCCTATGATTCTATGAATTCATGCTTCAACCCCAAAACTAACAGTATGCTTTTCAAAAGGCTAGCTGGCCTGTACTGTCTGCTAATTGCTAACAGCACCAGATCTCAGTGTACGTTCAGCCTTACCTACCCAACCACGTCCTATGGCTCACACCTCGGAGTGAGAGCACCTCCAGCTCCACTCCAGGCCATCTCCTGTTTTCATGACCCAGTCTTCTATTTACTGAAGACACAGTAAATACATCTAGGCTGCATGACGATATTTAAGTAAACACGACTCCACTCCTCCACCAAACCTAATCCTTCAACATGTTTTCACAACCGGTTCTCAACCCCAGCGCCATGCCCGATTCAACTTGTTTCGCTTCATTCTCAAAAAAGTCGATCGGCAGCGTGAGAAAGGAAACAACCGGGCCGCGTCCGAGCGGTATGAATGTACTCCGATACCCCTCAGGAAGCCGCCGCACATCCTGTTTCTCCCATTCGCTTTGAAGTGCTCCCCAGCAGTACTGCACTATCTGTGCGCCTCCCCGAGCCCTCCTCCCAGCTCATCCGCCGGCTCCCCACGTTACCGAGGCTATCGGTACTGGCACTCAGCACTTCCCAACCACCAAAATAAGGCCACCGGCCTCTCTCTCCGCCTCCGCCCGCTCGCACACACGCTTCACAGAGGCACGGGAGTACTGGTGACCGCTTCCAGAACAGCCCTTCACCACCAACTTCCTGCACATCGCTAATTTCGCAATTTCAGCCTGACAAACAGATTCTGATGCCCGAGGTCCGGGCGGGAGGGGGCATTTCTGTTCGCCCGCTGACTCCAGGGATCCCTCGGAGCCACAGATGCATCCCTGCCACTCCGGGCCTCCCGCGGCCCCGCCGTGTCCATGTATCCATCCAGCCATCCATCCATTCACCCGCTCACCCACTCATCCCGCCCCGGGGCGCGCAGACCCCGGCCCAGCCCCGCACGTGTCGTCGCTGCCGCCACAAAGCCCCTCTGCGGGGCCGCCACAGCGCAGCGCGGCCCGACCCGCACCCAGCCCGTGGGGCCGCGGCCCCTCCGCGCCCTCCCGCTCCCGCCCCCGCCCCGCCGCCTCCAGGGCCGCCGCTCCAGCGCCCGCCCGTCTCGCCGCGGGGAGGGAGCGGCAGCAGCGGGGCCGGGCGGGGAGACGGGGTAGGAGCGATACCTGAGCGCGGCGGCCCCGGGCGCTCGGCCTCACCGCAGCGCCGCACTTACATATCTTCCCCCGCAGGTTCTGCAGCACCCGCACCTCGTCGCCGCCGTCTCCCGCCGCCATCGCGCCAGCGCCGCCGCCGCCTGCGCAGTGCCGCGCCGCGGGGGCAGGGAGGGAGGGAGGAAAGGAGCGGCCCGGCCCGGCCCCGCCGCCCGCCCCGCCCCCGCAGCCCGCGGGCACCACCGGCCGGGGCGAGCGGGGGGCCCGGCGCCTGCGCTCGGGCGGCTTCGCCCGCGGCCCGGCACCTCGCGCTCTCGCCGGCCTGGGGCTCCGCTGCTCTGGGCGCCGGGGGTCTCGGCCGGTCCCAGAGCTTGCCCTGACCGCCCCTTCCACTGCTCTATAGTCAGGAAGACAGGACATAACCTTAAGCTGCACCAGGGGAGGTTTAGGGTTAGACATTAGGATGAAATTCTTCACAGAAGGGGTGATTAGACAGTGGAATGGGCTGCCCAGGGAGGTGGTGGAGTCACCGTCCCTGGAGGTGTTTAAAGATAGACTGGACGTGGCACTCACGGCCAGGGTCTGGTTGACGAGGTGATGGTGGGTCGTAGGTTGGACTCAATGATCTCAGAAGTCTTTTCCAACCTAATTGGTTATGTGGTTCTGTGCCTCCCAGCGGGGCAGAGGGCTCGGCAGCCCGGCGCGTTGAACAATGCGTACTCTGCTGAGATTGGTCACATTAAATGGCAGGCGGGCACATTAAATGGAACGATGGCATGTCTGGCCAATTTGGTCTGTGGTGTGCCAAGCGCCTGTCCCTGTGCAAAGCACGGCACGGGCTCCTTTGGATCTCCTCTGCTGTCACTAGTTCACGTTCACCTGTTCGGCCGTGTGAGAAATGCCATGAAATAAGTAGGAAGTGGGTCGGCTGCCAGCACTGCCCCAGGAGCAGATGTCGCGCTGCCTGCGGAATGCCACAGGCAATGCTTCCCTCCGGAGTCACACAGGGCCCAGAGCTGTTTGCAGGCTGCAGCAGCTCGCCTTCATGAAGAACTGAAGGGCCTTTGCATCACGTTTTCTACCATGGATTCTTGAAGACACCGATCCTAATGTGAAACTCTGGAATCTGGCTTACACCCGGACTTCCCCCCAGTCCTGTACTGGTGGTGGGTGTCTGTCTTGGGC